CAGGCTCCTAATTACTTTACCCATCTGTCAGCAGTCTTCTTTTTTTTAATCTACATTTATAGTTTTAAATGCTTTATATTAGAAAAGAAAAAAATTAAGTTAATGATCTAAATTTCTATCTTACGAAGCTAAAGAAAGATGTATTGATTCCTATGGGCTAAATGTTTGTGTCCTCCCAAAATTCCTCAATGCAATTGTATTAATAAGTGGGGACTTTTGGAGGTGCTCATGAGGGCAGAGTCCTCCTGAATGAGAATAGTGCCCATTTATTAGTAAAATTAGTAAAAGAGGCCTGAGGGAGCTTGTTTGCCCCTTCCACTATGTGAGGGGACAGCACGCCCTCACCAGACACTGAATCTGCCAGTGCCTTGATATTGGACTCCTCAGTCTCCAGAATTGTGAGAAATAAATGTTAATTACTTATAAGCCACCTAGTTTATATTCATAGTATTTTGTTACAGCAGCCCAAACAGAATAAGACACTGATTAATCCAAAATCCACAAGAAAATAATAAGCCTAAAAGCAGAAATTGATTAAACAGAAAATATACAATAGAGAAAATTAACCAAGTCAAAAGTTGGTTCTTTCAAATGATTAATAAGATGAATCAATCCCTAGCAAGACGGCTTAAGAAAAAATGAAAGAGAACACAAAATACCAATGTGAGGAATAAAAGAGGGAATTTTACTACAAATCCTACAGACATCAAAATAATAATAAGGAAATATTACAGATACCTTGATGCCAATAAATTCAACAAGATGAAATTGAGAAATTTCTTGAAAAACACAATTTATTAAAACTGATTCAAAATCCACGGAAAATCTATATAGCCCTATATCCATTAGAGAGAGTACTGTCATTACCAAAATTCACCCAACAAAGCAACTCCAACTCCAAACGTTTCACTAGTGAATTCTAGCAAGCATTGAAAAAAGAAACAATATCAATCTTGTATAATCAGTGTCAGAAAACGTAAGGAACACTTTTCAGCTCATTTTATGAAGGTAGAGTTACTATGATATCAAGATCAGACAAAGATGTTTAAGAAAATAATAGACCAATATTCTGAATACAAAGGCAAAAATTCTTAACAAAATATTAGCACAAAGAATCTAGCAACACATGAAAACAATACTGAAGCATGATCAAGCAGTGTATACCTCCAAAATCCTAGGTTTGTTTAACATTTAAAAATGAATTAATGTAATTGACCATAATAAACAAACAAAGGAAATGTCATACACAGATGCAGAAAAAAATTTAACAAAATTCAAGACCTATTCATGATTTTAAAAAAACTGCATCAAACTAGGAATAGAAAGAAATCTTCCTCAACCTGATAAAGGGCATCTATGAAAACCAACATCACACTTAATAGTGAAAGACTACTTTCCTTCTAAGATTAAAAACAAGACACGAAATGTCTGTTCTCATCATTTTTGTTCAACGTTGTAACAGAGGTTCTAGCTAGAGCCATAAGGCAAGAAAAAGAAATAAAAGGCATCAAGATTGGGAGGAAAGAAGTGTTCCTCTTTCTAAATGATATGATTTCAATTCTCCCCAAACTGATCTACAGATTCAGTGAAATCCAAATCACAATCCCAACAGACTTTTTATTAGAAATGGATAAGTCTATTGTAAAATTCATATGGAAACACAAAGGTACTAGAATACCCACAAAAACTTGGGAAAAGAATAAAATTGGAAAACTTCCCCATTTCAAGACTTAACTATAAAACTACAATCATCAAGACAAGGTGATAATGGCATAACAAAAACAAATTGATCAGAATTGAACACAATAGTTTAGGAATAGACCCACATTTATTCGGTCAACTAATTTTTCACAAGGGTACAAAAAAATTCAGTAGAGCAAAGACAATCTTTTCAACAAATGATACTGGACAATTGATGTATAGAAAAAATGAACTTCAATATCTATAATAGCTAGCTTCCAAGAACACTTATGGATTCTCATCTCCTGGTATGCCTGCCCTTTGCATAGTCCCCTCCCACACTGAATAGGGCTGATCTCTATAACCAATAGGATATTGTAGAAATGATATGATGTGACTTCTGAGGCTAGATCACAAAAGACATTGCAGCTTTCTCTTTTTTTCTTTTGCCTCACTCTCTCTGGATGAAGCCAACTACCACATAAGGACACTCATGGAGTTCTATGGAAATGTCCATGAGGCAAGAAACTGAAGTCCTTTGTCAACAATAAGCTCAACTTGTCAGGCATGTCAGTTAGCCATCTTGGAAGTAAATCCTCTAGCTCATTCAAGCCCTCAGATGACTGCAACCCAGTTGACATCTTGAATGCAAATTCATGAGACCCTGAGCCAGAACCACTCAGCTAAGTCATTCCCAGGTTTCTGATCTGCTGGAACTGTGTGCAATATTAAATGTTTATTGTTGTTTAAGGTCACAAAGTTTTGGGGTAATTTGTTATACCACAATAGGTAAGTTATACTATCCCTACATCACACCATACTCAATTTAATATGAAACACAGACTAAACATAAAAGTTAAAACTATGAATATTTTAGAGGAAATACAGGAAAATATCTTTATGATCTGGGGGTAAGCAAAGATAGGACACAGAAAACAATCATTCTGAAAATAAAAAAATGGATAAGATGGACTTCATCAAAATTTAAAACTTCTGCTCATTAAGAAAATGAATAGGCAAGCCACAATTAGAAGAAAATAATTACAAAACATATATGATAAAGGACTTGATTCCAGAATATATAAAGAACTCCTACAAATCAATAATAAAAAGATAAGCAGCCCAATTTTATAAGAGGGCAAAAGAACAGATACTTCACAAGGAAAGGTATAAAAATGACCAATAATACATGGAAAGATGCCCAATATCATTAGTCATTACGAAAATTCAAATGAAAGCTATAATGATATACCACTGTACATCTACTAGAGTAGCTAAACTAAAAAGACCAACAACGCCAAATGTTGGCAAGGATATGGAACAACAGAAATTTTCTTATATTGCTGGTGGGAATGTAAATGATACAGCGGCTTCACAAAAACTACGTAACAGTTCTCCAAAGTTCTAAGATACATGAACCCAATAACTGGCAATTTCATTCACAGGTTTTTAACGAAGAGAAATGAAAACACATGTCCACAAATATACTTGTTCAAGAATGCTCACAGCTGGCTTATCCACAACAGCAAAAACGCAGAAACAGCCCAAATCAATAGGAAAAATGGATAAACAAATATTGGATTATGTATACAATGGGCTAGTCATCCATAATAAAAAAGAAAAAACTACTGATACACACAACAACATGGATGAACCTCAAAGACATTATGCTGAGCAAAATCAGTTGGACTTAAGAGAGTATGTACAGTACAATTCCATTCATATGAAATTCTATGCTATGAGGACCAGCAAGGTTTTGGCATGAAGAGAAGACACATTGTAAGAATAGAGAGCAGCAGAAAAACACAGGGTATATATAGGGAACTGAAATCAATACAATTTTACTTCAGAATAAGGCACATAGGGAACATAGTGGATCTTCAATAAATGTTTGACAAATTGATATTAAATTAAATGCAAGACTAAACAGACAAGTTGAAGACAAATCATGTATGGCTTTGAATGCCAAACTAAGGGATTCAGAGTTTATTCTCTTCAGAATGGGGGCTGCTGAAGATTTCTGAGAAAAGCCCTATAATATGAATTGTACTGTGGAAAGAACACTAACAACTCCACCAGTCCTCATGAATGCTCACCTGATTAATGCGCTGAAGTTTCTGTCTTTTAAGTTATTTATGTTTATAACTAGGGACATTTTCCAGCACATTTTACAGAAAGGTTTCATTTCAATGTCAAATGATATTCCTGTATGACTCTTCTCAGAGAACAGAAGATACTCACAAATACAGCTTATTATATAATTTCATCTCCTGGTCTACATCTAATCAAATGAAGTTGTCAGCAAAATTAAGATCAACAGTGATTCTATACTCCTGATGACCTAAGCCAGACATTCTATTAGGACTATATTATAATTGAGAAACTGTTAAGTACCTTCTTGTACTCCTCTAATGGAGACAACCCAAGTTTCACTGAAAGCTTATAAGACACTCCATAGCAATGTGAAGAGTACTATGCAAGTATCCAGCATATGTAATCTTGTTACCACGAAGTAAGTAATCTTAAACACAGACCCTAATATCACTGTGGTATCCCTATGCAGAAAAGCTATAATGTATCAAATTTTCTTTCCAACCACAAAAATGACAAAGTATGAAGTTCTATAAACACCATTCCTTTAATTAAGGAACCAGTAACCTAAATATATAAAAACTGGTCTGCTTATTCACTACATACCTGGCCATTTGAAGTAATAAAATTTAAAAAAAAATGCTGTGTTGAAAAAAGTGAAAAGATAATGTTATCCAAACAAATCAGATGTCTTCAAACAAAATAAGTTTTTCTTTCCTTTCAAATAGGAGAAAAAAAGAGAACAAAAAATTCTGCAATAAAAGTGCACATAATTAACATCAATCACGGTGATGATATACCATGGAAGAGGAAAGAAGAAAAGTTACCTCGTCATAGGTCAAATTTTTTTTCATACCCTGCCTGTACTGTAACTTGTGAACTTTAGAACTTTTACAGACTTTCTGAAAGCTGAAAAGAATCCAGTAACTTGTACAGAATCTCATGAACAGTTTTTGGGGTACCACAAGCACCTGTTTCCAGTGTGTTCCACCCATGGCTCCTAAGTGGAAATAAGTAAATGCAAACGCAGCAGTGCCCTGGGTGCGAAAATAGGGTGAAGACCCCAGGCGCAGCCCAGGAGGGCTAGCTTCCCCCAAGCCTGTGTATGACAGGGATTTGGGACTGAGGAGGGACGAGGGGGAGGCGGGTGCAGCTTCTGCCCTAGGGCCCCACACCTACCCAGCCCGCACCCACTCCCCCGCCCGCCCCGCGCTGCGCCGGGTACTCACAGCTCTGGTCTCGTACAGCACGAGCTTCTGGACCGAGCTGATGATGGGGGCGGCGGCCACGGGCATGGCGAGAGCAAATGAGGGCCCCACGCCAGGGTACCAGCCGCTGGACCGACCCAGGAGACCCGGCGAGTAAACACTTCAGACCCTGGGCACCGGGTCCGGCCAGGATAAACAAAGCCTGGGTACTAAAACTGGGATCAGCTTCAGCTCAGGTGTTTCCGGATCCCCGCGCCCCGCCTCCAGGCCAGCCCCGCCCAGGCATGGCGGGAGCGGGGCTGGAGGATGTACCATAGGGCGCTCAGAGGCTCCCGGAACCTGCGTGTTGCCGAAGGAGGAAGCGAATAGCGCCATCTTTAGTAAGGGCAAGAGAAAAAGTGGGCGGAGAAAAAGTCACGGGATTTATTGAGTCTCTCTTTTACCTCTTCTCTCTCTTTGGAAAAAGGGAAAGGTTTGGGATTGGGTTGCTTCTTTTGAAGTGGGTTCTCCGAGTTGCAGGGTAGATCCATTCTCAAATTGGACTGTTTTTTCCTTACCTACTTCTGGCCTTATTTTCCTAGAAATGTGCTATCCGATGGTCCTTCACTGAGTGTCGATGTTTTTCCCCTCACCTCTCTTCGTTGCCTGTTTTTTCCTTCTGAGAGTCATGTTGTACCGAGGCTGTGTGATCCAACGAATTTTTTTTAATCACCTAAAGGTGGAAATTTCGGACTTTGCCACGTATTTGTGTCTGGGGCTAACCGCGCATGGATTCTGAAAATGGACTATTGAATGTCGTGTAGTGGAACAAGCGCTGGCTTTGGAGTCCGGCCGTTCCGTGTTAAAATAAGGTTTCTTCCATTTCGTGCGTGTGACATAAACCGACAATGTATGCACCTCTTCCATATTTATGAAAAGAAATGTATTACAGTTATGAATACACAATTAGATACAAAAGTGAATACTTAGAACAAAAAAAAAGAAATCAACGAAGTACGGCCCCACCTCCCGCGGCCCCGCCTTGCGAGGCCCTGCGCGCCGCGGCAGGTTTCCTCGGCAACCGCTCAACAGTCCGCGGAGCCTCTGGGGACGGCTGCTGTCTGGACTGCGGAGTCCGCTGGCGCCAGGTAAGCAAACTTTTTCCAGGTGCCGTTGTCCACCGCCCGCAGGCATTTTTGGTATCGGTTGCACGGGACTTCACCTCCTGCGGGGACCCCAGACCAGTTCCTTTTCTTGCAAAACTAAACTTCGGGATCTTTTGGTAAATCCACTTTTTAAAACTACTTCTCCTTTCAACGACGAATATATTTATTCTACAGATATTTGCTCAACACCTACTACGAGAGTATAAGACGTAGTCGAGTGGCAGCTTACCTAGCCTAGGCGGAAGTGCTAGGTTTCCCAGGAGATGTGACCCCTCTGAACCTCAGAATCCACTGCTGAAGGGTTTCTCAACTGCTAAAAGTGTATTGAAACTTTTTTTTAAAGTTTATAGAATTGTAGCATAAACACGTAATATGATACTAGAGATTATATTGTAAATTCAAAATTGAGAGATCACAATTTTTAAAAAGAATTTTTTAATTATATATTATTTTGATTTTTTTCTTCATAGTTTGTTATTACTTTTATTTTTTTCTCTTTTTTTTAAATTTCAGGATATTATGGGAGTACAAACATTTTGGTTACATGTTATGACTTTGTCTCCTTCACCCAAGCCAGGATTAGAGGTGTGCCCTTCCCCCATACAATGCTCACCGCGTCCGTTAATTGTGAGTTTAAAAGATGGTCATGTCAGTTCTGGCATTTTTGCACTGACTTGGATCTTTTAACTGGGAAAAATACTTACCTCTGTTCCATTTCATAATGGAGACCAACACGTCTGAATGTGAGTTAAATATTCGCACGTTTTTATATGGGATAACAACTCTTAAAACATCTGTAGAATCCTTATTTTCAATGATCATATTATACTATAATTAAGCACTTCCATTCAAACTTTATCTTAGTTTCACCCAGAAGCAGATCCTGAGACAAAAATTTGAAGGCAAGTAGTTTATATGGGACGTAATCCCAGGAAATAGCAACAGGAAGGGAAAGGAAACTAATAAAGGGAATATTACTGAGCAAATTTCTCTGTGGCTGAATATTCACTAGGGAATGCTGGGATGCATGTCTCAGAGTTATCCCCTCTTAAGGGGCAAGGGTGCTGGGATATTTATTCACCAACTCCCATCAGTTATTGGTTGAAGCCTGCTAGCATTGATTCCCTGAACTTCCAGTCTGCCCTGGGTTCAGGCAGAGTGGGTTCTGGCATCTGGAGAAAGCCCTTAGACAAAGAGTCACACATGCTGGCCTTTGGAAATTGGGCTGGCCATGCATAGAAGAGGTACATGTCAAGTGGATATGGATGGGGAACTAGTAACATCTTCTACATTCCACCTTTTGCACCACACATATCCACTCTTCCCCCACATTAAGTTCACACCATCCCATCAATGATTCTTTAAGGTAGTGGCTAGTCCCAATTTCTAAAAGAAAAAGACTTACAAAAAGAAGACGAATGAGACAAGCTACAGACTCTACTACTACAATTAATCCTAGGTCGGTAATTGATAATTCATCATCTCCTTCCTTTACTACTCACTCTAGGTTTTCCTTACCATTGACTAGCACTTCTGCTGGTCTAAGTTGTTTGCCTAGTTGGATAACCAGCTTTGATCCCTGAAGAGTGCAAGCCCCTGGTTAACCAGCTTTGATCCCTGAAGAGTGCAAGTCCCTGGTTAACTAGCTTTGATCCCCTGAAAAGTGTAAGCCGCTAAGTCCTTGTGAGGTTTTGGTTGCTGCAGTTACCCATTCACTGGACATGAAAGCATCAGGAGGTGTCTCAGAGAATCCCCTTAGTTCACGGCATACATCCCCCACCCCAATTATATAGCAGCAACCTATCTCCACCTCCTAGTGCAGTAACTCCCTACAGGCTGGTGGAGCCAAAAATGACCAGGTGGCAGCAGGAGCCTTAGATTTAGTTTTATAAACCTTTACAGGGCCCCCTAATAAACCCATCTCTCCCCTCAACCAAACCCAAGTCCCTAATTAAAGTGATTTGTTGTGTAAAATTTGGATTCAGTCAAAAGGCTGCACTCTAGGATCCAGAAGGCCATGCTGCAGGTTCCCCACCCCTGGAAGGGAAATGCAAATTCCCCAAATCAATCACTGAGAGTGAGGGTGAGATGGGTCACTCCTACCTCCAACCCTTGGTTCGAAGCCTATACCTCATCTGGAAGTACACTGTCTCAGTCCCACATAATCCCAAACTAGTGCTTTAGCTATACCTTTAAGAAGCCATTCCAACCTTTTGTCAGACCAGCAGCTTCTAGGTGCGGTGGTGTGTGATGAGATCCCATGTTCATTTGCCTCTTGTCATATCTCCTTTACTGTAAAGAGGGCCCTTTGATCCCAGGCAATGGGATCTAAACAGTCTAAACCCTTAGATAGGGGTGCTGGCCAAAGCATGGTGGGTAGGGAAAGCAAACCCATACTGGGAACACATGTCACTTGCCCCTTCTATAGTGAAGGAGTCCTGTGTAATCAGTTTGTCACTGAATGGTTGTTTTGTCTCCTTAACATGGATTATACCATGTTAAGGGCTCAGCCTCAGTCTCTGCTGTGGACGGGTAGAACATTCAGCACAGTAGTAGCTAGATCAGCCTGGTAAGAGGGAGCCTGTGGAGCCCATGCATAGCCTCCGCCACCTCCATCCCTGCCACCGTGCCTACGCTGTTTATGCAAGCACCGAGGTGACCAAGGACAAAGACTGGCTGGCATCTACAGATAATCATCCTGTCCACCTGGTTATTCAGTGCCTCTTCTGAGACAGATGGATGCTTTATGAGACACAAAGATCTACATATTTTGTGTCCACTTGCATTAGTTTTCTGTGCTGCATAACAAATTACCACAAATTTAGCCTCTTAAAACACACACATTTATTATCTCACAGTTTCCATGACCAAGAGTCCTGGCATAGCTTAGCTGGGTCCTCTGCTTAGGGTTTCACAAGGCTGCAGTCAGGCGTTGGCTTAGCTGCACTGTCATCTGGAAATACAACTGGGGAAGAATCCACTCCCATGCTCATTCCCATTGTTGGCAAAAGTCATCCCTTTGTGGTTGTAGGACTGAGGTCCCTATTTTCTTACTGGCTGTTGGCAAGGGCTGCTCTCAGCTACTGGAGGGACCCATGTGGTGTTCCTTGCCATGTGGTCCTCTGACAACATGGCCGCTTACTTCTTCAAAGCCAACAGGTTGTCCCTCTCCAGGCAGCTAAGATGGAGTCTCATATAATGTAACGTAACCATGGGAGTGACATTTCTATCATCTTTGCTATATTTAAAAACAAGTAACAGATCCCACTGGCACTCAAGGAAAGGATATCATGTAAGAGTGTGACTCACTGGAGGTCACCTTAGGGTGTGTTTGCTACACCACTCTCATAGGTCCAATCACACGCTCCTTCCCCAGAACTCTTTTTCTCTCATCTTCTGATCTTGCTTCTTTTAGGCTCTTGATGAAGCCATTCAGGATTATCCTCCAAATCGAGGGCCTAGGAATACTGCTTAAAGCTCTGCTGCTAGGAGAATTTCCCCTAATTGCCATTTTTTTCGGGGTTATTGGGAGTGGAACTAAAGCCTGGAAGCATTCAATTAACAGCTTGCACCAAAACATTGTGATTCTTCCATGAATTTTGTTTTCATTTTCTGCCAGCTGTCCCTAGGGAATTCCACATGGGGTGTGAGCTGAAAGAGACAATGGTGAACAAGAGACAGGTGGACATGGGGGTCTGGGCTGCTTATTTATGGAACTTATTTGTGTCTTCCAGACCTGCTTGAGCCTGATCCCAGTGTTCCATTTTTATGATTCAATGGATTGCTGCTGCGTCTACCTAACTTTAGGACTTGATCTGTCTGACATACCCAGCAGATGAAGGGCACTTCTAGTTGCATAGTCACTTTCAAAATTAAATTTTCCCATCCAGAAATATATTATGGTTCTTCATTTATTTGAGTCTTATTTAATATCTGTCAGCAAAATTTTATAGTTAGTGCACCTATATATCATTAGTGCACATTTCTTACTAAATTTATTCACAACTCTTTTGTAGCTTTTGTGCAATTGTGAGAATTTTTTGTTGTTATTACTGATCTTAGAGAAAATTATTGGTTTTTTAAAAGATATTTTTGCTATATCATTTTAATTATTTAATAGTGCCAATAAATAACATTATCATTATTTTGTTAATATTTTATAATTTTCACTTTAAGTTTTTCTTTGATCCAGTAATATTTAGAAGAATATTGTTCATTTTTTCTTTTAAATTTTCAAGAATTAGTAGTTTTTGAAAATACTTATATAATTATTTTTAACATTATTGTGATCAAGAAATATGTCCGATGTTATTTTTACTATTTACTTAACAGACATATCTTATGAGTCCTTGTAAATATTTTATGAGTATAAATATATAAATAGTCTTTAAGTGCTTGAAAACAAAACATGGTCTTTGTACAAAAACAAACTTTGTAAAAAAATAATTTATGACCTGGTCTGTTTCTGATTCACTCTAAAAGAACCATTGTAAGTTGAAAACTTAGTTCTTACAGATATAATATTTAAAATTGGGGTTCTGTGCCTAGAAATCCACTTAATAGCTCAAAATAG